CTATTTCGGGATAATAAAGATGGTTCAACATTAAGAATGTCAATCCTCATGTTTAGTTCTCCATTACGCATTTAATTAGTTGAAGTTCCTGAGTCTCCATAAAAAGCGTGTTATTAGAATGGCTTCTTTTTGAAATGAATTGAATCTTGAAGCAACAACTTTTCGATTAGTTCTAGAAGACAGCAATAAACTGTTTGCTTGAAATTATATGCTTAGAAAAGTAATGCCTATTTAAAGAAAAGCGTGCCTTTATCTTTGCGTTATTTACATAGCGCTAATGGTCTCCAAATCATCTATTTGTCCTATTACTATTAAGGGGCCATCCACACTTGATAGTGTGATCAAAAGCGTTCCGAGTCCGGCGAAGTATCAATCATCACTTACGTAAAATAACTTTCATTTTCGCAATCAATATTCGATAATTTAATTCTAAGCAGGTTGTGTTGGATTTGGGTATATAGTAGTACTGGATGGATTTTATAAATGACTTTTCTATCTTGTTCATTATATCGAGCTTGTATATTGCATTTCAGCCATCATTTTTGGCAGGCTATCGGTTCCCTTTTTAACTGAAGGAATAAATCGTTTCAAAATAACTAATAATTCATCCTGTCATTTTTATTTATTCTCCTTTTAGTTTCAGAAGAAAGGACGTTAAAGGTACCACTATCCCGAGAAAACCTACACAAGTTCGTGATAAATCAACTAAGAGCTAAACGAGAAGAATCGACTAAAACGGCCCGTACCGAATGAAATGAATGATAAGTACATAATGAGTAATGAGAAATCAAAAAAGTGTAGTGTTCCTAAACTTAAATTATTCTAAAGTCCAAATGTGTTGCAAAACTAATCCTGGTGAGAATAAAACAATCGTAATAATTCTTGGTAATTGGTCAGAACCAATAGGTTATGCAAGACCAGTGGGAGTAAATTAGTTATTTAAATAGTGAAGAACAGGAACACCTCTTTTTTAAAAATGACTGATTCAGAAAGCAAGAATTTTAAGCAAACGTGAGACGAATCTGAAGTGCAGTCATAGCATTGTGAAATCTATTTGGTTTTGAGGGAAGCAGGTTCTCTCAGTATTCAAGAATATTGCCTTTTCATCCTTTTCCTTTAAAGTTTCGCATTTGATTGAGGACTTGAGACTTATTATCTATCGGGTTTGGACATTTGAATAGAAAAGGTAACATGAATGAAAGAAAGTGACAATTTAGTCTAGCCTGAAAATTTGTCTTCTTAAGAGCTAAATGTACTTTTCGGCCCTCTTACAATTTCATAAAATCGATTTTAAATTATGTTTATTAATCCATCATTATTGTTTATTTATCCTTTAAATATTTGCGGAGTTTATTTCCTCAAGTCATTGTGAATACATAGTATGCTTTATAGTTACTTGAATTAAAAAAGCAATTGTCTACTTTTCATTGATTTCACTTTACTAATCGATAACTCTCAGGTCGACTACCACATCTGCTCCGTTAGCTCGCTTACATCTGTGATTGCTTTAAGCGTAAACAGCACGTAGAATCACTGTTGTGTTTATGTTTAACGCGACAGTGAAACAGTGTTCGTGGCACGTTTCTTTGCCTCTAATATATACGGGAACGTCATGGTAGCGGTTTTATATTTACCACCTTCCAGTACATTTATTGTGCCGTCCTGTCTTGTGGCAGTTGCTACAAAAAATATGTTTAGACAAAATTTAGTAATCCATTCTGGCAAAACCCCCATGCATGAAATTGCACTCGAAATTAGTAAACAGGAAACCGAACGTTTGGCAGGGAAAGCCTTTGTGTGTTGTTAAACTGCCCACATGATTTGCTATTAAATAAAAATAACGTATTACTACGTTGTACAAGCACAGCTGCTAATTGGCTGAGAGGTTGCTGTAGGTACTCCCAACCTTCCAGAATGTTCCGTGTCGAATAAAGTAGCGCTGTAATCTTCAAAACTGATAAAAACTATTGTCTTGCAAAGAACCTCAACACCCCAAGTTGAAAGCAACTTTAACGGCGTATTTTCCCTAAAGTCAATTTTTACAGTTACAACTACTTAATCCAAAGAAGTGTGATACAGTTTTATAAATAAAAATTAATAGGCTAGCACATGGTAAATGGTTATCCGTCCGGAAGTTTAAGTACCCAACTGAGAGCTTGGGAACTCAATAGTAGGCAACCCTGGGTGCGGAGGTTAAAGCTTGAGTATTGCTCGAATGCAAAGAAATTAACCTATTCGACTTTCAGACACTGGCAGATCAAAGTTTACAAAAGAGGAAATAGAATGTGCAATTTTAAAATTCAGACTTGGTAACTAGTGAAATCTACGGGTTAAATACCAAGCAAACATTGCTATTACTTAAGGAAAGCAACACATCAGAGAGAGCTGAGTTTCTAAATAACCGTATAGGATTCCGAATAAAGTCAACATATACTTTATTATTTCTGATCTGGAAGTCTCAGAATCCTAGATGTCTATCTAACAAGAGATCAGATGACAAATTGTACGCAACAACATCCAACAACAAAATAGGGGAAAAACACTGGCTTTACAAAGTCCAAAATTTCGTAATCACAACATAGGGAGTGGGGCAAAAGGTATAATAGGTGTCAAGTATTTAAATGCTGATTTGATTTCGGTTGGTAGAGAGAGGGAAATAGATAGCAATATAGATGGAAATTACAAGTTCACACACGAAGAAGAAAGTGGAGTAGAGAGTATTTTAATATTAAATTATGCAAGTAGAATGGCCATTCTAACACCGGGTTTCATAGAGACCGCTTTTTCCGATATAACGAACCCATTTAATTACATCATGATCTGAGTAATTCAATTTAGGTTCAAATACCTTCAAAAAACGAACCCGAAAACCGGAAGGAGCGAAAGGAACCTTAAAAGGAGAGAAAAAGCAAGGTTAAGCTAAATGCGCAATTATACAAACAGCTGTAGAGTCGATGTGACTCCAGACAAACTGTAACAAAATTTGGCAATAAATATTTCTTACCTCGAAGTTCATTGAGATTGGCGATCGGCTGACACGTTGAGTCTTATCGGCAGATTGGAGTAATTCAACTTCAGCCGAAAGTTGAGATTCCTTCATTCCAGCAATGCGTGGAAGTCTGTAAAAAATACATGATTTAAATTATATTTATATGTTCTAGCCATAATATTTAATGGTCATCATGGGTAAGGAAGCAGTAAGTTGGAATCTTTTTCACGAGAAAATCGAATTCGACTACCTCTCTGTACCAATTCACTGCATGTATGCCAATGGCAAAGAACTCTACGGCACTGGCTTAAGCAAGCTTATAATGGCCCATCCCAAATCCGTATACAGAATGGAATTTCGAAGTAAATTTGAACTCACGACATTTAAATGGATCAAACTAATTAAATTGAATATAAACAACTGTTACAACAGATGACACAAAGACCATCACTAATAAAAATTTCTGTTTCACCTAAGCAGTAAATAAATTCTTGATATTTGGTCGAACTCCATTAGGATATCACGTGCTATGCAATTTCCTTTTTAAAGTTCCAATGATAAAGTTGCATAGGGCTTTAAAAGAAAATATTATTTTTTAAAAATTTCTTTATTTTAACGGTGAATCGTCCATCCAATAGAAGTCATATTAAGCAATTACAAACAATAAATCATAAAAAAGAACTGTGAAGAGGCTGAACATAGGAGACAATTAGGGTATATGAACTTTTCCATAGATTAGAATTCATAAAATAATTAAAAATCCCAAACCAAGTCCCAAAAATCGAACTTCCTTTTCCATTTTAAAGACGTCTCATTTGATTTGCGTAATAAGACAAACTGGACCATAGCCGCAGCCTTTCTAGAAGATGACGAGTCAGACCGACCCACTAATCACGTGAAATGAAGCTAAAGTTGTGGCTAATTGGAAAGTGAAACTCGATTTTCAAGTAATCACCAGCACAAATAGCAAATGCGTGAAATTGAACTCAATCATGCATATATATATATATATATATATATATATATAGTGATATCATAAGAGGATGGCTGGGTCTGGAAAAGCAATAACCGATGAATCAAGACAGCAATTGAATTAGACGATCCAGAACAAGTTTAGCGCGTACGACGAGCCCGAACGAATATTTGAAGTGTGGTAAGAGAGTAGACAATGGACCTTAACTATCCTCAAGATAAAAACCGGTAAATACTAAGGCAATTATATATTCCAACTAATGCTTGTTTTGAAGAGGGCAGATTTTACCTTCATAATTAAAAACACTGCATATTGCAATCCGCTATGTTCATTAGTATAACTAAACCGACAAACACCGCGAAAAAGAAGAGACTTCAACCCCGAGACCTTCAATAATCGAGAGGGATACACTATCACTACGGCGAGGGGGGGGGATAGCAACTGTAAATTAGTTGAAACACCACTACCTGGGATCTTTTAGCTTAAACAATGATCACAATAAAAACAAGACAGCAGATAGCAATACTAATATGTAAAAATATGTAGAGAGCACAAGGCACCCGTCAGTTGTAAATTCGAGTACACTACATCTCAAAGGAAGCCAGGAAGCTTATTATGTACTACCCAGAGAGAGATTTAAGAGATAGGCTAATTTCTTTCTTACAATGGGGAGCTTAAGAACAAATAAGAAGAGCAAATATTTAGAGAACTGTAAAGATATTCAAAGAGCGTATTATTAGAAGTGTCACAGCATAATGTAACATAATGCAGAGATTATGTCAATAACGTAAGGGCATTTGACAACAAAGTGATTATCAAAAAAACTCACTTCCATACAATGGCGTTCTCAGTAGCCTTGTACTTCGCTCTGCCCTTTGAGCACATGACCTGAACACCGCTGGTATTGCTCGGTGTGGGAATGCACACCTCTACCTTCTGAGCCAGGAAGCTGGGCTTGAAGTTGGCTTTTACAACCACTTTGACTTCTAACTTGTGCTTACCAATCTCATGCACCAGGGGAATGAGACGAAATGGCAATGTGATGTCCTACAATTTGTAACAATGGGATTTTATGTAGAGTACTTGTAGTTCAAGTAACAGTGGTAAAAAAGCTGAAGTAAGTTAATACCCATCATATAAAAGAGGAAAATTGCAAAGAAGAAATTAGCACGAATGATCTCTGCCAATTTATGTCAATGAACTGTGAAGCGAAAATACAGCTGGTGGTCTAAATGCTGCATGCGCTAAAATTTCCAATCAGGGCTATGTTTGTTATGAGACATCCGATCAGTTTTTAAAAATAGCAACAAAATGTCGGAGATACAGTTACGCAGAATCGGGGACAATGGTAATCATCAAAGAAAATGATGGAATAATTGGTTGGCATAGCATTTCGATTGATATACCCAAGAAAAGAAATCGATTCACCTTAATTATTGGGTTTAAAAATATCAGTTGCCCTCATAACGACAAAGAAACCTGAGTGTTCTGGATCTAGAAAATTATACGAAGCAAATGAATGGCTTAAGAGAACCTACTGACTTAACAGCTGAATAGAGTCGGCTAGTGCTAAATTTGAATTCGCATTCAAGTTTCGACAAAATAGAAAAGAGTGAAGACAAAAGTTCCGCGCCAAATTACATTGATATACAATTGTATAACATTATTTGAAATTTATTAGTAAAAAATGGACTAATGAATGAATTATCAAACCTATAATACAAATAATAAAAGCCGGTAAGAAAACAAATTGAAAATTCCGATTTGGGAAATCAAATCGCATTTTCGGGGAATTTAAAAAAAAAACAAAAACACGATCAAGCTCACGAAGGAGTAAATCTATTATTTACTATTTTTTAGTCTATGAAATGGAAGAGAGAATTGTTTTTCCAAAAACAAATTGGATGAATTAAACCTGAAACTTTTTCATAATGATTTGCAAAATGCTAGAAGTAGCCTTATGAAAACAAGAAACTAAAATAATAAGACAAAGTATATACAACTTTTTTTAACTACATAACAAGTTATCACGTAACAATTGCTCTTTTCATAAAGAAAATTGGAAAACAGACCCTGGTAAAAGGACAAGGGATAAAGTACTTAGACTTTAGCAGAATAACTTTGGTCAAAAGAAACTTACACGAGTCTTTCGATAGCGCATAAGAATAAATTCTCCATCCGGTGGAACAAATGATATTGCTTGATCAGTGCTATATTTGTTTAGTTTGACACACTGATGGAACTGACAATCATCAATAGCAACACCGGTAATAGATTCAGGGGCGCTGAAATAACATAAAAGGGCTATTACAAAAAGGTAAAAGAGAAGAAGCCTGATTATTTGAACGCAAGAACTTACAAATCATCACCAGTTCCGATAGCTGCAGCATTCTTGGGCCGGTTATCCAAATTTATTTTGTCATTGAAACCAAACTTGCAATCCGGCATTCCACTAAGATAGCATTTCATCACCACCTTGCCAACAACATGAGCCGACAATACCTGCCCCTGAGGTGACATGAGTAGATTAACTGATTCTGTAATATCAAGGAAGAGTTCATTTCGTCGGTACTTAATTCCCTCACGACGCCAACTAATCTGACCAGTGACTTGGTTGGTGATTTGGGTCGTCTCCTCCTTATTGGCGGAACGAATAGCTGCTTGAGTTATTAAATCCCGAAGAATATTGGTATCTGTGTTTTGTGCATAGCCGTAGTCGACTGCCTCATCGAGCAATTCGTAGATAAGGACAAAGTTGTTCTTAATGTTCTCTTCGGTGACACGGCCTAAGTGCTGTTGGAATACACCAAGAATTGCATGAAGTAGCTCAAAGACAGCAGCAGCATTTAGGTTTCGACGGCTGACAGCACACAGCCAAATATTCCCCCGCTTAACGTGGAAGAAGCTAGTTCGTGAAATATTAACGATGGGTGAACGAATCTGCAAAAAGTAAAGACTTTTAAATAGTAGTAAAACTAGTGACAATAAATTGAAATATATTACCACAGAGTTTCTTGAAAAAATAACAAAGAAACAATGGATGATTCATATTAATGTAAAAAGAATAAATACTTGATGTCTGGAATGTATCACATGAACGCGAAAAACATCAACGGCTGTCTTTGGAATTTCATCTCTGAAAAATCGTTGGATGAGAACTTCTCCTTTATGATTATATATGAATAAAGCACCAATCATTGTGACAATTCCAACGAAGCAGCAAAGTCCATTAACCTAGGTCTAACAGCTAAGACAAGCGCCAGTTTTTCGATTAAGTAAAATGTGAGTGTAGCATAAAATCTCCTGTTGAATTTATTTAAAATTTTATTACTCAAATATAAATATAACCTATAAACATTTTATCTAATGGTATGCAGCAAGTTCATGTAAAGCAACAAAATAATATATGATAAGAATATTCATGAGTGTAAAACACAATATGTGCCAAGTACATCAGTATTGTAAGTCAATAAAATTTTAAAGGATTTTTGTTGCAGAACTTATATATAACTGAAAACTGATTGTTACGAGATGAAAAATATGAAAATTTTAAAATTTTTTATGAATAAGGTCAATATTCAATAATAAAGGCATTTCTAAAATACTTGTTTATTTATTCACTTTTATGAATAAACTATGACCTTACTTGAGGCACCATTTCCATCTGAACGAAATCGGCTTCATGTAGTGCATATAATGAATTCTCTACGAAATCTAACATACCCAGTATGTTGAATTGCATACCTTGATATCACACACAGAAAATATAACTGAAATAAATAAAACGCAACTTTAATTCTTTGAATAAAGGAAACTGTACAGTTATTCAATTTGATTTCGTTTTTAAGGTTCTGAGCAAAGCCCTTCGGAGTCCAAACAAGCTTGTTAATCAGTGTCGCTTCGCTCTTTCAACAATTAATCAAAGCAAACATCACAACCGCAGACCAGATCTTGGAATTTTGGGGGATTATGAAGCATCCCACTTTGAACGAATATTCGAAAATAACATAGGCCAACTAAGATGTGTCTTAACTAAGCCTGAAGAAGTTTTGTCGTATAATAGAGATTACACAGGGCAGTATGAAGGTAAAGAAAACATTTTTTCACTCCCAGCACTTATGTTTCTTGAGTTATTGTTTCATTTTCAGGATCATCTCCTTTGGTTGTACTTCCAACATCAACTGAACAGGTCGCTGAAGCCGTCAAATTGTGTAATATCTGGAAACTTGGAATTCTTCCCCAGGGAGGAAACACAAGTTTAGTTGGATCTAGCACTCCATCTTTTGATGAAATTATCATGTCCACACGTAAATTGAACAAGATTCTAAGTATTGACACAGATACGGGTAAGTAAGCGAATTATTGACTTATTAAGCAACTATCGAGGACCGTCTGCTTTAACCTGCTTGATTTCTTCCAGGCATTGTTGTTTGCCAATCGGGGGTTATTCCGGCAGATCTTGAACGTGTTATTTCTGATCCAACTTATGACCTGCTTCTTCCGCTGGATCTTGGTTCGTGGGAAATCTCCTGCCTTGGAGGAAACGCTTCGACAAATGCTCGTGGAATTCACACTCTCAGATATCTGGATTTTAGGCATTCGATCGTTGGACTAGAGGCGGTTTGTAAAACTTTCACGATGACGTGATTGCATTTGCTTGAAATTCTGGAATGCATATTTATGCTAGAATTTTTAGTCATAGATTCAAATTTAAGATACTTCTTCTAAAAGCCAAAATTATTAACAGATTTACTTTTTCTTTCTATTTTTCAATTCATCTCGCAAGGATGACAATTTCTAAATTTCATTTTAAGCTTCTCAATGCCATGCCTTCTGTTTTTGTTACTAATTTGGTATATCTAATTATCTTGGAAGTTATTTAATGAATAAGCATTTAAATTTTATTTGTTCGAATGCTGCGCAAATAAGACTTGATCAAACCTCAATTGTCTACTCTAGCAAAGTTCTCTCCCATGAAATTAGCTAAGCTACCTCAATAGTATAGGCGACATAGGGCGTAGGGAGTGAACAGAGTTTTATTTCAGCTTATATGCACTGACACAAAGCTTTGTCATTAACATCCACTTTTGGCCACTCTATGCTTATTAAATTGTAGGTTCTTCCAAACGGTGAAATTTTAAATGCCATGGATGGATCCCATAAGGATCCAATTGGAGTAGACTTGAAACACTGTTTTATCGGAACAGAGGGAATTTTCGGAATTATTACGAAACTCGCAATTAGATGCCCACCTCGACCCAAATCAACAAATGCCGCCTTAATAAGTAAGTCTGCATTGTTATTTGAATTTAATTGCCGAAATAAAATCGTTCAACATAAGTTTGGTGTATTAAAATGTACACCTAATTACCTAATAGATAAATTTCATTTGATTCTAGACTAGAAATCAGCCTTGTTCGGAATAATGCACCTAATTCACATTTAAACGATAAAATGTCTACTGTAACTCTATTTCTATATCTAACATACTTAAATACCAGCTTGATTGTTAAAGCTATGCGTATATAGCCACTGAGTATGTTTTAATCAATTAGTTTGCATTAAAAGAACATTCAAATTACTTCAGCCATTCTTTAAATGAGTAAATATCGAATTTGTAAACAAAACGTTATATGCACTATTTTAAAGGGATTCATTTTTGAGTCGAAAGTTTTCAGGTGGTTCGCTACACAGAAATGTAATAGGAAGATATCCTGGAGCGCTTCTGATGAGAAACTTGCCTTCTATAGTCCACATTGTTGACTTGAACTGCATTGTGCGATTAGCCAACAGTGAGTATTAAGCTCGTTAATTCTAAATGATAGCATTATCATGCACGAAAAAGAACAGGCAATATTTGTGTAAGACTATCGTTAAAATCGTACATTTATTGTTGCAGTTAGGCTATTGGGGTTTAAGGGCACTATATAAGAATAAACAATTCTTAAATTAAACATGATGCGTCGATTATTCACTGAATTTGGTTTAGAGTAGTTAGCCTTTACTTTGGATAATTTTGGGCGCACCCCACTATCATTTCATCGTTATTTCATCTGAATAGAATGACCCTGTCATTGGTCAATGTTTAACCGAGGTTCCAGTGTTCAAAGCCATTCACATGATCTGAAATTTTCTACAGGCCCTTTGAGATTTCGAACGTCATTTGGATGGTCAAAATTCACTTGTCTACGAATTCATACCAGGGAGACTGGAGCAAACCAAAAGAATGCCCTGAACTATACACCTATTTTTCTAAAACAGAGAGGACGTAGGTTTTCAATGTAGTGAGTGTTTTTAGTGACTCTCTCATAATGATAGTGATCTCAAGTAGTTTTTAAACCATTGAAATGTGCTAAAGTTCTAACTAGTGTGGTTATCTTTCGAGCCGATATTATTCTCGAAACCTTCAAAATTGATGTCGGCTGTGAATTTGTTTCAACTTATCGAAGTTGGAATTGTTAATCATTTGCCAACAATAATTTTATTTTTAGTTAATAATTCAAATTTAAAATTGCACAAGCTTATCTTTAACCAAAATTGGCGTAGAACTACCCGAGTGAGCTTCTTTGTGTATTTCTTTTTCTTACTCCTTTGAACTCTTATGTAATCGAAGGTTTTAATTAATTCATTGATAGTTTAGTAGCATTTGAATCACTGTTCAGTTTTACCTTATGCTTACTGTGTTTTAGACATGAAAAATGTCAATCGAAAAATAGTTTTGCTTCCATTGAAACTGCCGACGTTAAATGACCAAAAAGTACTGCCCCTTCCTGAGAAATATTTGAGAATAAAAGATTTATCTGACCATCACACTCAACCATTTTCAAATAATCCCCGAAATTTCAGTTTGCAGATTTCTCCATTACAGACACGTAGGGACACGAATTAACGATATTGCTTATAAGGCTTTCATATTCCAGATCAAGCTTTTTTATTTCCAATTGTGACTTGAAGCTGGTCAGTTTATGAAAAGGCGTTTATTACTCTTCTAAAGCAAGCAAATCCTCAATTAAGTGTAGAGTCATCTGTCAGTCATAGAGAACTGTGCGGCCCAACTTTGATTTCCTCTTTGGCAAGCACTCATCCCACAAGTGGGGGGGGGGCCAGATGTCATTGTGAAAATAACGAACACGTCTTGATTTATGGTGAATGGGCATTTAATTGAAACTCACAAGTTTTCGACGAAATTTTTTTTCTCGCAGTCCAGCAAATTCAAAAACATAAAGCTTGGAATTTAAAACAATATCTACTTTATTTTATCATTTAAAAACAAGTAAAATCACCATTAAACAGAGTTCAATGGCATTTCTTTGAGTGATCTCAAGCGGCTCTTATGAAAAATTCTCCTCGCCTATTGAGCGGATTTCGCATAGTTCAGTAAACCATCCATATCAATATCCCCGCGAAAATGAGAGTCTTTCGAGTGACCTCTAACTTGGCAACCGTATATGATGACTGTTTGGTCACAAGTACTCAATTGTCATCATATTTTAGATTCCAAAGCAAGATTAAAATCTCCATTAGAATCCTCTTCTTTAAAAGCAGCTTTCCTGTTTGTTAGTAGTCTTTAGAAAAATTAATATTGTAGAAAAACGACTTTATCAATTTCGCCTAAGCAAAGGGATTTTGCCAAATAGTAAATATGTAATAATTCAACTGATTTAATTACTTCTACGGTATTTAAGGTGTGGAAGTAGAAGTTGACACGTAGCTTACAAAATTGTTCAGTCTTTGAGGGCAGCCCATAATTAAGCCTTAAACCAAACCCTCACCGACTTGTTAAATAAACGAAGTAGATATTTTCGCGTGGTCGTTAAGTTAGATAATTGCTCCAGTTTAATATAATTAATGATGAGTTTTATGACACTATTAAAGCTCTGGGCAAATTCAATGATTTAGATATTATTCATAGAGTATTTCATTTTGCAAATTGGGAAACTATCTGAACATCAAAAGCTTTCGAAGGGAGTACATTGGAGACAGACATTAAAAATCTAAAAATTCAAAGTTAGTTTATTGAAATAAATTTTCAACGTCTTTTAAGAGAAGTGTTCACAATGGTCTATTAGTATTGATTACAACAGAGTAAAACGATTTGATCATCTTAAAGCATGGGAATAAGGTGTGTTTGAAAGCGAGTCCGTAGCGGAGTGCTGGACTTATAAGCCTTTTCTCAGAATCTCTATGGCAGATCCTCCTATGTGGAAAGACTCCCATATCTAGGCAAGCTATCGGAAAGTTATTGAGGAAACAGGCGTACCACGTAGAGCACGTTTATTTGGGATGTGTGTGTACACAGAGAGCTAAGTCATTGTATTAATATGACGTGTTTTTGCTAAATCTTAACAAGGGATATTGAATGGCTGTTGGCTGGGTACCCTTCGTGCTCATGACCACACTTACTCCCTACATGAAGTTGCACGACGCACCTTCAAGCCTGTCTGGGTGCGTGTGAGATTACTCGTTCAGCGGCGACAGAGTTGGGTGCTCCACAAGTCTAATAAGATATGAAGAGGATTAGGTTGAGAAAAAGAGGCTGGGGATGAACCCATTGAAATAAAGATTTTATTTTGCTTAAGCTATGGAAGCAATGAATCGTCACTATTCTCCTGTGGTGTATATTTTGTTTTATAGACCTTGTTTTCAAATGCCATGAATTGTTTCACAGTTTATACTATACGATTGCCGGCGAACTTTGGAGCTTAGGGTGTGTTTAAATAGTGCTATGGTTTTATTGCCCCATCAATTTACTTGCTTCTTTTGACAACAGGTTGATAGACCCCAATGATTTCCCAGAATTGAAGTGTCAACTAAAGCTCATTAGAAGTGAATTCAACTCTAACCCATTTTCAATTAAATGGTAGTTGCTGTCGATATTCTAAAGTGATTTGAATAAATTCTGAATTTCTTAAAAAATACATTCGATGAATTATGTTCTCCCAAACTATGTATTAGAAAATGTTTGTTCTTGATATTTGGTAATAACTGGCAACCATGGAAAGTAAGCTGTACTAACTTACTAATGAGTTTTATAACTGAAGATGTCATTTGCTTTCGAATTTATTAACTTGAATCTAACTGGACTAGCTAAAATAATTACTGGAATATAGCCTCAATGTCCAGGCTCCTCTATCAAAGCTTAATAGATTTGCATAAAATTATACGTGCTTTGAAGCAACATTAAGCCAATGAAATCAAAAGGTCATATTAGCATGTGTTTGTGGCAAAATATGCGTAGTATTGAGTGTTATATTTGCCCGAAGGGAAGGTAATTAAAGTATGTCATCCTTGGCCTTGAAAACAAAGATTTAATACAACTCGAGATGCCGTTGATGGCCCTTTGACTTCGACTCATGCCTATTTTTCCAACTGTGCTTTCAGCACCCCCTCGATTAATTAAGGTTTTTATATAATTTTGGGGAGGGTAATTTCTACACTTTGTCACTTTCTCATACAGTTTCAATAATTATTTAGCTTGCGATGACTATACGGCGGTTTTAGAAATTCTTCGAATTGGACGTCGAGACTTGGCCGATACACTCTCAGCATTCGAGTATATGGGTAAGTCAAATTAGTTTATTAAAACATCAGTTTACTATCCTTAATATACATCATTAAATCGGATTTAAATTTTGTTGTAATTCACTAAACTCTGTACATTTGAAGACAATTAAATTAACATATTTATTTATATCAAATGGCAGGCTTTATGATATTTATCATTAGCCCTTTAGTTGACTTCAGGGTTCACAGAGGGGAAGGAACATCAAATTGAAAAAATTCGAGAGGGGGGGGGGGGACAGAAGAGTGTTTCAAAGATGTAAGAGACAGTCACAAAGGTACAACAAAGGTGAGGTGAGTACTGTGAAATAGTCGAATATGACATACAGTGGGGTAATGGTAGTTTGAAGTGAGAAGTCAACTGCCAGTTAATAGACTTTTTTGCCGTATGAATATACGTTGCCCAGGGTCCACCACGTGGAGGTGAGTCTAT